ATAACAATGGAACATAAATAAAATCTTTAATTTTCTAAAACAACGTTGAATGGAATTGTATATAGACAATATTACAGTTGATTATTCGAAGTTTGACTATTCAAATGATTCATTATTCAAACACAGAATGAATATTCCAAATAACAAATCAATAATTAATTTATCTTTTGCAATACAATATTTCTCTTACTAAAGAAACAAATCATCCTTTTCAAACACATTTTATCCCCATCATCTACGTTACTTTTCAACTTCAACCTATTCAAATATAAAATAAATTCGCAAACGATTAGATTTATTTCTTAATTTTTCCCAATATTACATATTTACTTGTATCCATGTTAAAAAATTATTCAGTTTTTCACCGACCCATTGACAAATCGAACTCCCTCTATTTTCCAAATATATCCATTCCCCAATTAATTCCCCTATAATCGACCTTCCATCTCACGCACGAAATAACGGTGAAAAAATTCGATATCGATCTCTCGAGGCATCCCGTTGTCACTCCACCACTCCTCCTCTCCCTCCCCCTTCTTTATTTCACGAATCAAAATTCATTCACGAATCAATTCTGCCTCGCGAATCCGCGAACGATCGGGAACATCGGTGAAGCTATCATCCCCCACATTAATGAAACTACGCGAAAAGCGTTTGTGCACAGATCATCGCAATTTGCGTGATTCCGTGGTGCAAACCGTGCAGCTTGTTTGCTTACGTGTGCATGCAATAAATATACGCCCACGCCTGTTTACCAGGCCCTATATCCGACTGAGGATAATCGTTTACCGTAAACACCGCGTTCACGTTTAAGGGTAAGCATGAATTTTAGATTCCATCCGTGAAGCGGATGGATAGGAAGGAAACGTGTTTTTTATCCTTCTTGGAGCAGGTCGGTGTGTAAACGGGAGGGAGAGATGGATGTGGAATCGTTAAGAGGGGGGGATTGATTGGAAAATACAGCGCCGGAAAAGGAAAGGGGATGGTTTATTAATATTTTCCGAGGCACCTGTGTATTTGTATTTGGCAAAGGATAGTTCGAGGGTTTGGAATGGAGGGTTTTGGAATTGATATTTTCTGATGATGTAGAGAGGAAAAATAATTGAAATGATACTTTTGAGTCGTGAAGTTTCAAAGTACGTGATTATATGTGTTATTTTATATATATATATATAGGAAAAGTTAAATTATATTTTACATTGATCATGTTGTTTAGTTGTAAATTGAAGATGATTAGTTTCTATTCGAGTTTCTATTTATGAAATGAGATTAGTAGTTTATAAAATGCATATATTCGAAGATTTAAGATATTTTTTTTAATTTTTAATTATTATTATACTATTTAAAAACCTATAAAGAAAAATATCTTGTATTAAATATTATTATTTAATAGTATTGAAACTATATATATAATTTTTTAACAAATTGCGTACACTTTTAATATCTTAAACGATATTTAAAGTATCTTTGAAGTAAAAAATAATATGCAACTGATGATTCAATGAACGTAATTGAATGCGATCGTAAATTCGAATCTTGTCTAATTTCGATCATTTCACCTATATAATTTCCTTATTCGATTAAATATAATGATATAATACTCATACCAATTGCATAGTATTATGTAAAAAATATTTTGTTAAAGAAAATTTAAATTAATCAACAATCTTAAAAATTATTTTGCAAATCGATCACACGCAATGTGACAAACGAATCAAAATACACGTGCAAAACCGAGAGATGAATCATAATTCATTCGATTCCTGAAAGATCTGAAACTATCTTACTCGCTTAGCACATCGTGAATTTCCATTTTCCTTTAATAAATCCCGTCATCCAACCCCCTTCTCCCTTCTTGGCTCGAGAAATTTCAAGCGTGAAAGTACCGAAAAGAAGTACGCCTGTATCTAAACGAAGCAAAAGTTATAAATATGTAGACTGACGTTCGCTTTAGAATTCATTAATAAAGGACGAAGGTAACCGCTTTCGTGTACAACGATTAATCACATCAGTGACGCTTACGACAGCCTTTATGGAGCCGTTAAACTCCGCTATGAAGATAATCCATACTTTAAAAGCTGCCCTCTTTAACGTTGCTTTCTCTCTCTCTCTCTTTCTCGCGCGCCGAGATTAACCCTTTCCTTCTACTTTCACTTCTTTTTTCTTTCTTTCTCTCTTTTCATTTTATCTTAACGTTCTTGAGTAACGTTATCCGTACGATCGTTTACCGGAAAATCATGATTATTTGACCGTAATGATGGATTTGCATTATCAAGGTTTTCTGATAAAATAAAATATAGGGTATAAGGATATGAAATTTTGACGAGAAAATAAAGAAACTTTAATAAATTTCGCGGAATTTGTGTATAATAATAAAAATTTTACGTATGATTATATAAAAAAGAGATTTAAGTTTGACAAATCTAACGATAATGAAATGCTTATAGAGATTGTTACAGAAAATATGAGGGAAATAATTTGGATAAAAGTGTTATTTTTATAAAAACTTGTTTTAAATTAATATTTTATACATTCCACACCAGTACGTATCACAAAATATATTCATTATTTTACGAATAACGACACCGCACAAATTTTCTTCTTCACAGTTTTATTATCTTCTTAACAAATTAACAAAGTCACGCACATTACACACACGTTATTATTGCACGATTTTCAAAAAACTAAAAATATTTGGCGAAAATATTGTGACTAATAATAATCCTCAGAAAACGACAAAACATCCGTCACAAAAACGCTGTTCAGATCGGGGATACAATTAACAACTCCCAGTAAGTCTGTCGCATACTAATTCGTTCGTCTTTCCTGAACGAGAAAAAAAAAGAAACGAGACGTGGATTAATTTTAATTTCATTAGAACGTTCTTTGGAGCAGCTTCTATGCGAATGCTCTGCGCATCCTTCCGTAGACAACAATTATTCGTGCGCTATAATACCCAAGGCACTTGTGCATCCTTCTAGTAATTGCATGCCAATGTGTTAGATGTTTCCCTTTCAAAATGTAGAAGCCAGGCTAGCGATGCACACCGCCACAAACGATACGAGAGGATACGTTATTAAAGTGTTCCTTAACACTTCGTTACTCGTATCCTATATAACATCGTGAATATTAGATTCTAAAATCAAAGATATTGTGCGACAAAGGACAAATTTAAAATTAATTTGCGTGGTTATACAAGATCTACGATTTTATTTTGGATCTATTAAATTAAATTCTGATAAAAGATAAATTATGAGATGATTCTTCGATTTCAGAATTCTAATATTCTGGATTAAAGGACATATAAGAGAAAAAATAAATTCAGCGTTAATTTGGATCTTTAATGGTTCTTTGTGCACGATCGTTTATTTTAAAAATTTTCGTATTTTGCAATTTTGAATTTTATGATCGAGCAACAATTTTTAAATAATTTAAGAGAATGATAAATTATATGTACATGAATAACGATAGATATAAAAGATATCACATAATTTATCTCATAAAAATTATACAGAATTTATATACAGAATGTTTGAATGAAACAAGTCAAAAAATTAAATGAAGAAACTTCTAAAAACTTCAAAATAAAAATAAGAAAAAAGGGATAAAAGCAAAAAATATTTGTTAAAATATAATATCATATTTTTAAGTTACAATCAATTTTGTATTTAATGAAATGAATTGGAGATGGAATAAGATAGCTCTATCTCCATTTCTTTTTATCCAACCGAAAACAAAATTGTTTATAACTTGTACAAGTAATTCTCAACTGATATTTCTACAATTATCCCTTAAATTTTCTACTTCGAACACCTATATACCGTGTGTCCATCAAATAAGAATCAAAAATATCACAGCATTAAGGAACGATGTGATAACAAGTCCTCTCAACATCGTTGGCACGGAAATAAAACTAAAGTTAAAACATTTTTTGCGAAATCGCTTATTTGTTTTTCGAATGCATGCAAATATTCGCTTTACTCGTTTTACAATTCGCCTATTTCTTCCATATTCTTCCTTCTATTTTATTTAATTTTTATTCCCTCCAACTTCTCTTCGTTCTTCGCTCGCCTAATTTTCCTTCGTCTCTGCATTTCTCTCCTCCTCGTTTGGTACAATCCTCTTCAAAAGGATCGGCGGGAACACGACCTAGGATCGCCAGGAATGAATGGGAAAACGTTATGTGATCGTGTGAGAATGCGTGCTCTTCCCTGGATCACGAGTGTTAGAGAGATTCAGGATCGAGAAAGATGATAAGATTGTAAACAAATTATATATGTAGAAATGTGAAAGATAATCGATTATGTATTTATTTCTTGTCGATTAGAAAAGAAATTATGATTGAAAATTTAAATACGTAATTGCTCATGTTAATATTATTTTCTCAATTTATTACCTTTTGCAGAAAAGAATTATTTAAATATCTAATAATAATGTGAAAATATAAAGGATTCAAGATTCATATTTTTATGTCAATAGCCAGTGAAATTTACAAAATAATTTTTTGTACAAAAATAAATTTAAAAATTGGATAATTTTTAAATATTAATATGAGTAACTGATTTTGCTGAAATAATTCGCAAGCAATAAATATTATGTTATGTGTACATACACGTGTACATATAGATAATAATATCTTAAATATGAATGGTAAGGGTTAATTAGAATTTAATATTTCTTGTGTAAATACTTATTTCAACTACTCTCGATCCTCGAATCTGTTTGAACAAATCCTTAATGCGCGCGTATGTGTGTGCGAGGATGGTCACTGAAACGAATGAAAGATTATCAGGGGTGAAACAATTAGGTTAACACGAAAAGGAAGAACGATCACACGATTCGATGAGAATTTGATTTATCATCGAATATTTTTGAAGTAGCCCTACAGTCTTTCATTCTTAGAGACGAATCGAGTGGATCCCTCGATCCATTGCCGTGACTAATCGCCTCCTTTTTATGTTCTTTTCTTCGGGGTATCTTCTGGAACACCCCGAATTCAGGGTCGTACTTCAATTGCATCATGTTCATGGTGGCGAGCAGCGTCGTTCTGACAGTGTTGGTGCTGAACTTTCATCACAGAACGCCCGACAGATACGTGATGCCATCGTGGGTAAGAGATTTGCTTTAAATTATCACGAATTTTCTGTATTAACTTTTTTCGACCGTAATATTCTATTTGAAATTTGTTAATTTATGTATTCCATCATCCAAATCATTGATCCAAAGAATTTTAAACTTTAAATAAAAGCAGAGAATATAATTTTTTAATATTTATTTCAAACAATTGATTTAATAATACATAGTTTTTGCATGATGAAGAATCAAATCATTAAATATTTTTGATTATTATGTAAAAAAACGAAATCAATGATTAATTTGTTATTCAGAAATCGAGTTTATTCCATGACTCATAATTCGAATTATCTCATTTGCTGAATTTTAAAAAACAAATAAGTCGAAAAAAGTTAAAAATAATAATAAATTAAACATATGACATTGAATTTCATCATTTATATTGTAATTTGAGTATATTCATAATGTATATTTTTCTTTATATTTCTTATGTTGTGTAATATGTTATTATTATTATACTTTTAAAAAGATGTTCTCTTTGCATTTATAATATAAAAATTAATTTCTTTTCTTATTTTGATATTTTTAGTCATTTAATCTTTGTATTATCATGAAAGAAAATAAATCAAGTTATCTCGCTTATAAAAAGAATAAATATGATTTTATCTTTGATCGATTGTGTTATTCACAAAATAACAAAAGAAGAAATCCGAATGTGCGTGACGTTCTTCCATTATGAACTAAAAAAGAAAATATAAATTGAGAAAAAATTTCTTTTTTGTAATATATTCTATGATTAGTTATATCAAACAAGAGAAAAAATAATTATTTTACATTGTTATTGTTGCTATCTTATTATTAAATTAAAATTGACAGTACTATTTTCGCTTATTTTTTTTATTATTTACAATTTTACTATTAAAATATGTATTTTAAAATATATTAATAATAATATCATATTATTATCGCATTAATATTTCGTTCATAAAAATTAATATATATAAAACATAACATCTAATAAAAATTCAATATGTAAAGAATCAGTCAAATTAACAAACAAAATAACAGATTGAAAGAGTTTTGTAAATCATAATTCATAATTCAACATTTCCGATATTTACTCGTGTTATATAATTCAATGAAATATAATTATGTTTATAACAGTAAATATCGTTATATCATAATTTTTCATCTTTTTTAATATAAATCTCTTGAACGAAGAAAAAAATCTGGAAAAATTAATAATACTAAAAAAAAATAATAATAATAATAAATTGTTGCATAATTCGTGATAATAATGTATAAACTCTCGACGAATAACGAAGAGCGAGATATTCGCACTTGAGATTGAATTACAAGCTTTCGAAAGTTGTTCAGTTTACTGAAACGCGAGAGAAAGAGAGAGAGAGAAAACTTTGACAGATGTATGCAAAATGTAGCTGGTGTTTTCGTTCATAAAACTCAGCCCTTATCCGCAGTGGCCATTACAGCCATTAAAGACAGTGCTTTAGTCGCTGAAAGTTTAAAGTGCCTTCGAGGCGTTAGCACTTCCTCTTGGCCGTTGGTTACTAGAACTTTCATAAACCAAGAGGAAACGTACTTCAACCGGAGACGAGAATCCTACGGGCTACGAAAAATTCCACGCGGTACTTTTCCATGCCATTATTTCC